TACAACCATATCAAAAGGCTAAACCCTCAACCCACACAATCAACCACATAACCCTGTCACAAATCACTACTTTTAAATAAAATAATTTCACAACTTGCCATAAATTGGTGAATTATCTTTAGTTTCTTGAATATGCCACACAATTTTAAAATTTAGTTCTATGGAGTGTCATGTCAGCTAGACAATGCCACGTCAGATCATATGTGGCATATAGCCAAGACATTTTTTCACCTCTTAAAAACTTAGGTGATGACATTTCCAAGTTGAGTGACAAAGATGTTGATTTTAATCAAGTTGGGTGACTACCCATGAAATTCCCCATTTTAGGAAAATGGGATGTGAAATAATATTGAATCTATAATGAGATGTCACGAGAGACGTTTAATTTGGTTTTGTATTGTTTCTCTTTTTATTACAGGGACTAACCCTTGGACTCCCAATTAATAATATAGCATACTTTCCCGGTAAAAAAAAATTTATGGAATTTGTGTTTCACCACTATTGCCATGTGTAACCATTAATATTTATTTATTTATTGTATGTTATAGATTTTAATTAAAATAGTTACCAACTAATTTTATATTTTAAGAAAAAAATGTTTATCATCAATATTCTCAAAGAATTAGATAGAAAAATATTTTAAATTTATGTTTGTTTTATTAAAATTTTATTAAAAAAGATTAAAACATCATATTTTTCAAAGTAAAAATGAGATTATTTTAATTTTTTCTCATGATATTTTATCAAAACGACTTAATTTTGAGTATTTTTTGCCTAATTTTTTACATGTCTGATTCATAAACATTAATATCATATTTTAAAGATAGTGAAATTGAATGTTTTAAAAACTTTCAATGGTAAAAGCTTTTAAATCTTGTAACTTGATGCAAATTAGTTATGTTTTTATGAATAACTTAGCTATTGCATTCAATTTGCTTTTAAATCTTGTAAATTGATGCAAATTAGTTATGTTTTTATGAATTACTTAGCTGTTCCATTCAATTTGTTTCCATGAATTGCCTAGCCGTTGCATCTTTATTTTCACATTATTCTTGACTTCGGTTACTATAAGGTGAGATTATAAAATGGTAGCCTCTTCTTGGATTGAATTTACAATTCTCTATACTCTTATTCCTCCTTATAATATTATTTTTGTTCTCTCGAACTCTCTTGAGCAAAGATATGTGGTGGGGGTAGAGCTTGATTTATAGGAAAAAAGGTTAGACTGATATATTAAGTAGTGTGACCAAAAAATAAACTGCTGCGCTAGTTGCATAAAATTTTGTAAAAGAGAATGATCAATCCACTATTCAATTCATGTCTTCGTAGCAAGAAAAGCTTTGATGAATTTGTACAATCTTCTGCTTCTGTTATCTTCTTCATTGATAACAGATACTGCAATGCATTTCATGACTAATGCAAGCATGCTCTTTGAGGCCATTACTAGCCAAGAAACATAGGTGAAACCATTGTGAGCTTTGAGTAGAAGAAACCATTCTCAATGGTGACAACAACTGAAGCAGGAGGCGCCTTGTACCTAAATATCACGTAAATCAACGTAAGTCTCAAATAACCAATCTTTTATCTTACTAAAAGAATAAAAAACCACAATACCACACAAGGTGGGGGACATTATAAAGTAGTAATAACAAGCCCATAAAAGAAGTTAACATTATCAGGCTAAGCCCATCAAAAATGTGGGTTGCTACGGTTAGCTTGACTGGGTTGATGATCCAAGTAGAAATTACCAAACAAAAATGTATTTTTATATTTTATTTAACAACAAAGTGTTTATTGGCTTGATCTATGGTTGTTAATAAATAAAATAATTTGTGAGTAACTTGTGAGTTATTAGAATTAAGTTCGATTCAAATTCAATAAGAAAAAACAAGTTTGAGATTAAGTTTTATGACTACTTGTGAACTATTCATAAATGCACTGTTTAAAATTAAAAATTATATTATATATTTAAATATATAATAATTTCTATTTTTTTTTTTGAACTCAGCGAAAACTTTTGATTACAACACTATCATACGGCATCTACAGCAAAACCTTATTCTATCGATAAGAATAAATAACAAAGAGATAAAGTCCAAACAAAGAGAAAATCTAGAGTAAACCCACTTTAACAATGATAATGAAGGGTGGTGGACAGTACACATAAACAACCTTGAAAGAACAAGTTTATATAGATTCCTTTGGTCGAACGATCTAGATAACTGGACACCCTTTAATCTACTATTGTAGAAGTTGCACCTGGTCTTTAGGATGTCGAGATGGGTAGATCTAAGTAGGTGGTGACCATCCCCCATAATCGTCATGAGAGGCTCGATGACCACCAGATCTGGGTAAACCAACGACCACTTCTTAAGATCTATGTGGTGGACTTGTTGGCCACCGAATCTAAAATCAAACAAACAAAACAAAAAGAGAAAAACAAAAAAAATAAGAAAAAGACCACCAAAAGGGGTCCCAAAAGCCGATCGACCACAAAAGGGGTCCCAAAAGCTGATCGACCACAAAAGGGTCATCCGGGCAGGGAGCACGAAACCGATTCCATAATGCTTGGGCAGCCGAAGATCCCAATGACTCAAGCATCAAAAACTCAAAAAGCCCAAGGACTTCCGAGCACAGAAAAAATGAAATGAGACGTAGAGGAAAAGTAGTCAAAAGCAAGAAAAAAATATAATATTTTCTAAACTTAATAAGATAGAAAAAGTAATTTAAATAAATTAAATATTTTAAATTATAATTATTAATAAAAAAACTTAAATAGAATTTATAGTTATTTGATCCCCAAATGTTTGGTACAATTATTAATTGTTTAGCTCAGCTTTTTGAATGGTCTCCCATTTGCACTAGCAGCCCAAGTTGTGCTGACAATGTACATAAAAATCTTGCCCCCATGGTAAGATTCAAATTCTTGAGGAGAAAATTGAAATATTTTCACCCTCTTTCTAAAAATTCACCTTTGTTCAAAAAAAGAAAAGAAAAGAAAGGTCACCCATTTAATTTTATTTCAAATTTAATTATTTTCTATAGGGATGGAAAATAAAAATGTGCTCATAATTAAAATATTATGAATGATAATAAAAAATTTTAAATTTTTTTTAATGAATCAATGTGAATAATTTTACAAATAATTTTGAAATTTTAAATTTGAGGATTTCATTTTTTTTTATTTTTCTCTTTCGTTTATGAAGTTAAAAAAAGAGGAGGAAAATTTTTTGTGAAGTTGTAAAATGGGATGCCATGTGAGATCAATCGAATATGGAAAATTTTCATATACATCTTTGATTTATTAATTATTGGCCCATTATTGTTTAAAAAAATATTGTATAATTTAAATTAAATAAAATTATACAATATAAATTATTAAGTGTGGGACGAATCTTTTAGGAATTGTCCCTCTATTCAGTCAATTTTTTGTTTTACAATTGCCATTTAAAATGTAAAATTAAAACTTCTATTGTTTTCGTTTAAAAAGTTTTTAATCATTTAAATATGATTCTTTAGTTGCATAACATTACGTGGTGGTGTTGTACTGACCCAAATAGTACCAGAATATTTAAACATTTCTGGAAGTTTCAACACTACTTAAGAGAGAAAATAACATTACAAAAGTGTCTTGTATCTTGTAAGAATGATAAAACATTAGTGTAATTACAACAGATCAACAATCTTTCTCAGCTCAAGTCTTCTTTTCAAACAAGGCTGTAAAGCTCCAGGATTAACCTTTGAGATAAATACTTTAATGCTTAAATCAATAATAATTTAATCTATTCTTAAAGATAAAAAAATTTTTTTTAATTGATTTCAATTACTTAAAGGTCACTTTCGAGAGTATATACTCACATAGCTTGTTTAACAACATAATTAAGATTGGCATGTCCCAAAAGGCAAGTATTTTGGGAGTAGAAGATTAGGTGAGGCATTCTTATTTTAATTATCAAGCAACCGGAACAAACTCAACTTGAATTTCAACTCAGTTGTTAAATGACTAAGATCCACTATTTACAATGATTAGAGTTTAATAAATACACAATATGTTTAGATTAATGATTTCGGGCTTATCCTTACATTTAATCTTATAATTATTGGAGTTTTTGTGGAATGGGTGATAGATCTTACTAATTATGATGTTGGAGTATTTGTTGTTAGAATAAAATGAATTGTAAAACACTAAATAAAATAACATTTTTAAGTTAAAATGATAATAAATAAAGAGAATCTTAATTATAAAATAGAAACATTGGGATAATTTTTTTTATAAATTATAATGGGAGTTAATTTTAAATTAATTGAAATTGAATATAATTTTTAAATATTAAAAATATAATATAAAAATATTATAATTTATATTTCAAAAATATAATTAATATATATTTAATATTAAAAAAGACAAAAATTATATTAATTTTATAAAGAATGTCACATACAATTATTCTCTCTCAAAAAGATATTATTGCGAGAAATCCAATACAAAAAGTACTCCTACTTTTGATCCCCACTATACAACCAGATCTTGCCACGTCAGAACAAAGAAGTTAGTTGTACCGGCGTCACGTGGCAAAATCAGTAGCGTCCGTCCAACTCCGAGTCCAGTTCAGCTCATTGTAAACAAGATTTGGAGGGAAAAGAACCTGAAAAAAATACAGTAATTAATTAAGAGATTTTTTAAATCCGGCAAAGAAAAAAAAGGAAAAAACAAAAAATTTTTAAAAATAAATTTTTAAAAAAAATATAATTAAAATTATTCATATATTAATAATATTATTAAAATATTTAATAATTTTTAATATAAATTAATTATAAAAAATATATATTTATTATACTGTCCTACACAGACTCAGGAATAGATAAATCATTAATTAAAAAAATAACGTATAAAAAAAATATAATAAATTGGAAAGCAAAACAAAATATAACCAATTGGAACTATGGCATTATAATCCAAAGCTCACAGTCTCTTTCTGCTCTTTCTGCTCTGCGCCTGTGTCTCGGTGACTTCGCCGGGAAATTGCGTCAGCGATCGCCGGAGAATTCCTGGGCTAAAGGAATCGGGCACTTTGCTGGCAGCGGCAAGGTATCATTCTTTGCACACTTTGGGTCCCGGTTGGGAATCTCTGGATTTTTTTTTTTTTTTGTTATTGTAATTTTGGCCGCAGATCTGGTGTTTGAGAGAGATGCAGGGTTCCTATCTCTGTCAATGTTGATTTTTTTGTTGAATTATCACATAAATTTGGGGGGAATAATAGGAATTTAGGGTTTCTGGTTTTGGTGTTTGAGTTAAATGGCCGACGGGATGAGATCTGGGAAGCATTTAGGGATTGTGATGAAGAACAGGAACTCGTCGGGATGTTTGATTGTGAAGAAGAAGGGTGATGAGTCCGGTGGTGTCGGGTCTTCTGGGGCTAGAAAAGTTTTTGGGTCGAAGAAAGAGAAGAAGACGCCAAGAATGGTTGTGAGTGATTCAGGGTCTAGTGATGACTTCTTAATGCCACCCCCTAGAGGGGTTGGGCCTGAAACCATTCAACTGTGTAATGGTTGGGCGGATTACGGGAAGGGTTTTAAAGAAAAAAGTAAAACTACTAGAAAGAGGAGTAGGAAGGAGCACATTAGGCGTAATGAGGATGGTTTCACTGGTTGGCATGGGGTGCACTTTAATGAAAGAAAGAGGAATAGATTAGACGTGTTTGAGTTTGATGGGTATAATGGAGTTAATGAGGCAGTGTTGATTAGAAAAGAACTCCTGGATTATAGTGGAGATGAAGTTGGGAACAGGAAGCTCTTGGCTTCAAGGCCTATGGGAAGGAGTAGCATTGAGAGAGAATATGAGAGTGGGTCAAGCAGAAACCTTTTTCTTGAGAAGAAGAAAAATTTGTATTATGACAGGAGCAGTAGCTTGGCTCATGGTCGTGGTAATCATGAAGATAGGAGCAGGTTTGGGATGGAAAGGGATGACATCCGGCTTCCTTTGTCCTCCTTTAAGGAGAGGTTAGTGTCTGATTCAGATGAACCCATTAGGGTTCAGGGCAAAAATGGTGTTCTCAAGGTGATGGTAAATAAGAAAAAGGTGGGTGGGCCTGTTAAAAGTTTTGGTCACTTGGAAGCTGAGGAGCCCTTAAGTGCTTCAAAGATTGGGAGGAACCTGCCGGTCTGTCCTCCTTTTTGGTCAGAGAAAGAAGTTTTTGAAAAGCCTGGTTTAAGGACCATGAAAAAGCAGATGAAAAGCCTAAAATCACCATCAACTAAGAAGAATAAGGACTCTGACTCAGAGTCAGAATCAGAAGAAGACAGTGATGCGTCTTTGAAGCTCACACCAAACATTATGGAAGCTTCTAATTCTACGAAGAGGGTCAATTGCAAAGAGGAAAAGGAGCTGGGTGAACAGCTTCTGCAGCCTAGAATTAAAGAAGGGAGGGTTAGGCGTGGTTGTGGCACAGAAAAGCAGAAGTTACGGGAACGAATAAGAGGGATGCTTCTGGATGCCGGCTGGACAATTGATTATAGACCTAGAAGGAATAGGGACTACCAAGATGCAGTGTATGTTAACCCTGCAGGAACAGCTTATTGGTCTATCATAAAGGCTTATGATGCTCTTCTAAAGCAGTTAAATGATGAGGAAGATGAAGGCAAACATGGGGACGCTTCTTTGTTTACCCCATTACCTGATGAGGAAATCGGACAGCTAACAAGGAAAACAAGAAAGAAAATGGAAAAAGAGATGAAACGGAAGCAAGGGGATGGCACTGGCGGTGAAAATTCCAAACAACCTGCTTCTAGAAGATCTTCAACTGCAAGAAATGAAGAGGACAGTGCAGAAAGCCTGAGCCAAGAGGAGAAACTATGCTCCTTCCTGAAGCATGGTAAACCATTTAAGAGTAGAACAAATGAAAATGGTGCCTTCAGTGCAAGCTCGAAAAGTCAGAATTCAACTCTCCCTCTTCATGACGGCACCAAAGGACCATGCTCCTTGTCTGATTCTCATATTGTTCAGGGAAGAAAAAGTAGAAAAATAGGAAGGTGTACTTTGTTAGTTCGTAGTTCCAACCAGGAGCTAAATGCAGACAATGATGGGTTTGTTCCATATTCTGGAAAAAGGACATTGCTTTCCTGGTTGATTGATTCTGGAACTGTGGAATCAAGCCAAAAGGTGAAGTATATGAACCGCCGGTGTACAAGAGTGATGTTGCAGGGCTGGATTACTAGGGATGGTATTCATTGTGGTTGCTGTAGTAAAATCCTCACCGTGTCAAAGTTTGAGATTCATGCTGGAAGCAAATTGCGTCAGCCATTTCAAAACATATATTTGGATTCTGGGATTTCTCTTCTGCAGTGCCAAATAGAGGCATGGGATGGACAAGAGGGTTCTGAGCGAATTGATTTCCATTCTGTAGATAACAATGGTGAGGATCCCAATGATGATACTTGTGGCATCTGTGGAGATGGTGGGGATTTGATATGCTGTGATGGCTGCCCGTCAACATTTCATCAAAGTTGCCTGAATATAAAGGTATGTTTGTGTTATGCAATTATTTATGCGTTGAATCTCTTTTGTTTGGCTTTTGCTTTCCTTCTGGGATCTACAGCGTCAATTTTAATCTACATCCCCTTGGGTCTTGGGTCTCTCCCATCTTACTCTTCTTTCTTTAGAACAGGGCAGGGCTTTGGAATTTTGATACAGGTGTTAAAAGGACTATGTTGGTTGGTTGTAAAGTTTTCCTACTCTCATAGTTATATTCATTGGTGAGGCCATAACTCAAAGACAGTTAAACTTAGGTTAGAGTTTACAAATAGTTCTTACATATTCAGTGACTTTGATGGCATCACTAAATATTGCTATATTTTCATTATTGTTTCTAGATTGGTTATTGTGCATGTCCTTTTCGCTAATTGAAAGTATATATAACTCTAAAAGACAAAAAATTGAAGAAACTGAGGGCATTGCTTCAGTGAAGGTGCCTCTCTTGAAGGCTTGCTGGGCACTCTTACCGGATTATACCACACTTTAGCACTTACGCATGCACCTTGATAATGCTAAAATGTACTTTGGATTCAGCTAAAAGTTAATTCCTGAAATGTACCTGGTACATTTTGAGATATGCAGATTAGAAAAAGCAGTCAGTGCGGTAAACTAGTTTCCTTAAGTAATTGTTTATGGTCACAATACGATGTGGATGTCTTTGGTCACTGTGCTTGTAACATTATTTCTCCAGATTGAAGTTTGTTGATGATTTTCTCTGTATTTAATGCTTATTCTGTCTGCTGTTTGGTGTTAAAAAAGTAAGCTTAACTCAATAATTTACACCCAGGTAATTTGGTCATCATAACGATCTTTCCTTGCAGTTTCTTCCACCAGGTGACTGGCACTGCCCAAATTGTACTTGCAAATTTTGTGGTTTAGGCAGGAATGTTGCTGAAGCAGATGATGCTACTGATCATAAGCTACCAACTTGTAGCATGTGTGAGAAGAAATGTACACATATCTCTCTTTTTTTATTCTTAATTTATACTTCTATTGATTCTTAGGAACTAATGAAATTCTGATTAAGATTTAACTTTCTACTTCTGTAGATCACAAATCATGCACAAAGGAGACTAATGCTCTTCCTGTTGATTCCAATAGTTTGGTTCTTTCTTTTTGTGGGAACAATTGCAGAGAGGTATTAGTCTTTTCCAGTTTTATGGTTTTTTTGTGCTGAATCTATTGTTCACAACAAGGTCTAAATCAAGAAATTATGGAAAGGTGTATGAGAAGGACATTCACTTCTTCTATTCTCATATACCATTGCAGAAGGTGCTATATTTTAGAATACCAATGCAGCCAGTGTGTTTGACATGGCAATGATATTTAGCTATAGAGAAAATTGTTAAAATAGACTCTATCCCTGTAATGTCTATGTTGAAGGTTTTATGTTATCACATCTGATCTAGAATTTGTATTTGACATCTGTTCCTAACTACCTTCATCTCTCTCAAATTTAAGGTTCCTTTTTTTCTTTTTTAAATTCATATATGTAGTGGACCTAAGGGAGGGGAAGTGTGAGGGTGGTTCCAAGTCCATTGAGACCATCCTTTTGGAATCATGTATTTTTATATTTAAAATTGTCATCCTCTTTCCTTGTTAAAATTGATTTTGTTTCATGTTATGAAGGGTTGAAGGCTAAAAATTGAAATATGTTTTTTTCCCTGCAGCTCTTTGAGCATTTGCAGAAGTTCCTTGGAGTCAAACATGAACTGGAAGCTGGATTTTCATGGTCTCTTATTCGTAGAACAAATGTAGATTCAGACACAAGTCTCCAAGTACTTCCTCAGCAGGTGGAATGCAATTCTAAACTAGCTGTTGCATTGACTGTTATGGATGAATGCTTTTTGCCCGCCATTGACAGGAGGAGCGGGGTCAACTTAATTCGTAACATCCTTTATAATACTGGGTGAGTGCCATGAATGCTTATTTGAAGCATGTAATAATTATTGTTTAGTTGGTTGTTCTGCAAAATAATGGTTGATGGGCAGAACAGATTTGATTATGTATTCTTGTTCTTGAGAAGATTATTTGAGTCATAAGTCTTATTCTGACAGTGGAAATTGATGCTGTTACCTGTTGTTCCCATAAATCTTCTTTTAAGCTCCATGCCTATGGTTCTTATTTCTCCTTCTTTGGATTTTCTTCCTATGTTTTTAGATTCTGTGGAACATACTAGTGTGGAAGCTAGAATGATCTTGCGAGTATTGATGAATAGAAGGGTGACACATTGAAAAAAATTTAAATTTTCTTGGTTTTGTTTTAGAAATTTTTGCACCTGGAGCACATTGAAGTAATTTAATCAAGTTTAGGTTTATTCTCCTGGAGTCTTAATTTGTTAATTTTACCTGTTTATTTTCCTCTTGGTTTTGTTATATGAAAATATATCATATTTATTCATAACCATTTTTATTCTTTTAAGTTTGATAGTTGAAATTGCTCTGCACTTTCTTCTTTGTCTCTTTCATGTTACATCTCCTTTTGCATCCCACCTTGCTGCATGTTTATCTAAATCTTGAGGTACCGGCTATGTTATTCTGCTTTTGTGGGTCACAGTTAACAATGATTGTCATAAACAGAAGTCTACATGGTTATTTTGGCCGGCATCTATTGTAACTGATTGCTCCTATCTTTTGAAGATCAAACTTCAATCGGTTGAACTATCAGGGCTTCTATACTGCTATTCTGGAGAGAGGTGATGAAATAATTTCCGCAGCATCTATCAGGTATATTGTTAAATCTTGCCATTTGTACATAACTATACATTTGGCTCTCTCACAAGTATCTAAAATTCCAGGAGATTTGGACCCCTAATGGGGCATCATCCGGGCAGATTGTAGTAGCCATTGGCTTGTTCTTTAAAAATTGGAAACTAAGAGCATTTGCTATAATCTATAGAATTGGAATGTTACACGTTATATTTTTCCAAGGAAGGAATGTGGCATTGTAAAACTATTTATATATTTGCAAATGTATAAAAGAGGAATTGCTTTATAGGAATTGTGCTTCTCATTCTATGTCATTGAAGCTGGTAATTGGTATTTGTTTTCTTTTATTTCAGTTTTTTTTTTTTTTTTCTGTTTTATCCTTTTTGTCCAACCTTGTTGCATCTATTTTTTTGGCTAACCTGTTTCATCCTAAATCAGTGATTATTGTTGTAGTTTGTGCAGTTGTATAACTGATTGAATGTATTACACTGTGCTTCTTAATTCTTCTGTGAGAGAGTGGCTTTTATTAAGTGTGAAACTTGTGTGTATGGGCATGTATACGCATGGATCTAGGACTTATGTGTTACATAGTCCTCTCCCTAGTTTGGGTTCCAGTATTGAGAAGGTTCTTTTGTACTAACTTTCCTTGCTCCCTTTTTTCTTGTTAGGTTCCATGGAACTCGGTTAGCTGAGATGCCATTTATTGGGACTCGCCATATTTATAGGCGTCAAGGGATGTGCCGTCGGCTTTTCTGTGCTATTGAATCAGTAAGCTATGAATATTATGTCCTATCTGCCCCCTTTTATGCCTAAAAAAATAAAATAAGCTCTTTATATGTTTTTACTGTTTCCATTGTCTTTACCTTCGTAAATATGTTACTTATTTTAGTTTGTCCTATTCCTCTGGTAAGGCTCTCTTGTCTCTCAAGGTTGAGAAACTGGTTATCCCTGCAATTGCTGAACTTACCCATACATGGACTGCTGTTTTTGGTTTCACTCCTGCGGAGGAATCATTAAAGCAAGAAATGAGGTCCATGAATATGTTGGTTTTCCCTGGTATAGATATGTTGCAGAAGCTACTGCTGGAGCAAGAAAAAACTGAAGGGACTGCATCTCTGAGAACAGGTTATGGTTGATGCTGTTTATAGTCTTGTTTAAATCTAATACATGTCAACTGTGATTTAACTTCTGAGAAATTCCCATATAGGTGCAAGATCAATAGAAATCAAGTGTGACATCACACCCAAGGTGGCAAATAAATCTGAAAATGATTCCTTGGATGGGCATGATCCTCCTCAACATATTGATGGTGGTCTGCATCAAGGCAGTATGAGAAGCATTGAAGTTGTTGCCGCAGATTTGGATTCCCAATTTCTAAATGCCCCTAAGAAGGATGAATCTTCTCCAGACCACAATTGTCATTCTATCCTTGATACAAGGCATAGCACATTACAGATGGATGATAAACCTGTGCAGGATTCTTCTGCTGAAGATGATGATCAGTCTGGTATGGAGGATCATATGGATGATAAACCCATATTTGAATCTCCTGTTGAAGGTAATGCCCTCTTCTCTAAAGAGGGTGATATGGATGTTAACATTGCAGTAGGTATCAAAGTTGCTGCTGCTTCTGATGAATTCAAAAGCAAAGTTGCATTTAAAGAGCAAACCAGTATTTATTCTGAAAAAGATCATGCTCTGCCTTGTAAAGAATGTGACATGAATGATGCTATTGCAGTTCATGAAGATTTAGCTGCTGCCGGTAAAAATGAAATTTCAGTCTCAATTGAGGGAACAATGCATGCTCAGTCTTGCAAAGATAGTGTTGTGAATGATGATCATCCAGTTGATGAAGATATACCTGCTTTGAATGAAATTGAAAGTCCAGCCTCAGTTCAGGGAACTATGCATTCTGAGTCTTATAAAGAAAGTGATATGAAAAATGATCATGCAGTTCATGCTCGGTCTAGGGGAGAAAGTGAAGTGAATGATGCTTGTGCAGTTTATGACAACGCAGATGCTTTTAATGAAATTGAAATTCCAGTCTCAGTTGAGGGAACCATGCATGCTGATGCAGAGTCTGGAGACAAAATAGATGGATCCACTTCTGACAGGAAATCTTCTTTTCTTTCTGGTGTAAGTAATGATGAAGTTGAGGCCAAAAATAAATTGGTATCGGACCCTCCTGTTTGCCATTTTAGTCACTCTTATGAAGAGGATCATTCTTTGAAGGAAATAGTAACAGAAAACAAGAGTGAGGAGGACAATGAAATTCCAGATGTCTCTGTTTCTATCTCCAATGGTCTTGATGTGAGTTCTGCTATTCATGTTCACTCCAACTCAAATAATCAACTTAACCAGCAGGAAGGACATGAATAATCTGCAGCTTCAGAATCATCAGCTACTGAAGCGCCAAGTTTTGAAGAAAGCCTTATATTTTGATCTGGTGGTATTTAGGGAACTGATGTTCATATAAAGAAAAATGATCTAGTCTGCTATGATATATCCTCTGCGTTTAGGCAGAGTGTTTTTCACACCGCTTGCATCAGCACATGAATGGCTGGACCGTCAGAACCTGATTGACATGCTGCCAGATGCTAATGTTCAATGCACTGACTCAAGAAGCATTAGCGCCTCGGAATCTCTCTGAGACAGCTCAAAATTTTCCCCTGTGCAAGTTGTGCCATGCATTGCTAAAGCTGGAAGACCTTAAAGATTTTGAATGTGGGTATGTTTAAACTTGACAAGTATGTCAGTCAATGTTATCTTGCTGCTCCCAGTTGTATATATTTGAACTCGTTGAGTTTAAAAGATCGGTTTTTCTCACCATTTCTTGTATTATTTCATTTTTAAGGGTGGCAATTTGCCAATTGTCTGTTGTCGGTTTGTCAAATGGCAGAGGCGTTGGCAGATTGAGTTTTGAGTAGCAATTTCTTGTAATTATAAGCACTCTTGTGCGGTTGTACCTGCAATTTGTTAGTGGCATCCGGCAGCAAGCTAAGGATCTTTGCATCTGTGTGTTCACTCGACATCTGTGGGAAAAAGAATGTGTTGGGGTTTATAATTGTTCACCATGGGAAAACGGAAAAAACACTGGAATACCATCACCATTTTCCTTTTCATTTTTATTGGGGGGTACCTAAGGGGATTAATCTCCTCAAATCCACCCCGACTACTACCTGCCAATATTTATTTTACATTAACAATAGCTTGAATAACTTGGACATAATTATAACTTTTTCTTTTCTTCTTCAAACTCTCTTCCCCTTATTTTCATGATACCTTAGGCAGTTAGGATGACTTTTTGGTTTTTATTCTCAACCTAAAATATATGTAAATTTTATTATAAGTTTAAAAACAAATGTTGTACAATTATCACCTCTTTCACTAACCAATTATCACCTTTAAAAAAAAAAAAAGAGAGAGAGAAAAGTTTTACACATAACTTTTTGATTCAATTAATCTAAAAAAAAAATGTTTTTTAAGTTGTACTAAAATTGCAATTTAAATAATAAAATTAGTACAATGCCCTTAGTGATACTTTTTTTATGATCTTTAATCAATAATAATTTAAAATTTTTAATATTCAAACTACATATTTTAATTAAAAATACATGAAAATCAAATCAATTTATCAAAATTTTAATCTTTTGAAAGAAAATATATTATATTTAGTTATCTAATTTTTAAATTTGATGCCAAAGGTTAGATAGAAATTGAAATTTTGACCATTTTTAAGGGTTAATTCGAAATTCTATTAACTAAAATTTTTATTATGAGGTTATTTTTCAGTTTATTCATTCTACTCCATGTTCACCATTGACTCTGCAGTGGACACAGCGATATGCTTTCAGTTCCTTCTCGTCTCCCGGGCTGCCCAACCACACCTCCGCTCCTACTGCAACGGAGGGCTACAATTCCTCCGGCGATTTTCTCAGTCCCTCTTCTCCGACGATCTTTCTCATCTCTCAATCGGATGGACCCTCACCACTCTCAAACCTCACTGTCTTGTTCCTCTCACCCTCAAAACAATGCCTCCCCTCCCATCACTTCCCCATCAATCGAACTTGGTAAGCCATATGGAAAAAAGATCAATTTCTCAAGTTTCTATTGCCCCTTTTCTTCTTTCTCTGAAATTTGTTCTCTTTCTTGGCAGGCCGAATTGGAGAGGTGAAGAGAATGACTAAAGAGACAAATGTGTTTGTGAAGATTAACTTGGATGGTAGTGGGATTGCTGATTCCAATACGGGCATTCCCTTTCTTGATCATATGTTGGATGTGCGTCGTCTTCCCTACTTCTTTCTTTTCTAAATTTAAATCAGCAGTAATTTTTTGTTTCAAGAGTTTTTCAGTTTCAAATTTGATGTTTAGATGGAATAAAAGTAGTTCCAAGGTGCAACTGGATAAAATTTATGATCATTTGTTTGTTTAAAATTGTTAATTTAGCTAATGACCTAAGTAGCTTATTGATAATCTCCAGAACTAAGAGTCCTCAGTTCCAGTCATATAGCATGTGAGTGGGGTGCATTAAGGGATGGGGGAGGGTTGCCTCCCATTGTGCAACCCAAAATTTATATATATATAATTGTTACTTTGTTATATTTGGGGCTAATGTACATATATTCTTAATTGTCTTAATTTTTTTTTTCAGCAACTTGCATCACACGGGTTGTTTGATGTGCATGTGAGGGCCACCGGTGACATTCACATCGATGATCATCATACTAATGAAGATGTTGCCCTTGCCATTGGAACTGTAATAATCTGAATTCTCTTTTATTTTATTTTATTTTTTGGTAGAATTGTAAGTTTAAATTGCTGTAATTCAAATTCTATAGTACTATATGGATTTAGATATTACATTTTACCTGTGTGGATTAAAAGTTGACTCATTTGTCTACGATTATATTACTGAGGTCAAACCTTTGATAATTTGATACTGTTAATTTTAATGTATACAAGGATAATTTGGCACTGTTAATTTTAATGCTCTTGTAAAGGGTAGCTACTATTTGTAAATGTAATGCAGTAACAGGAGATCAGTTTAGCTTCCAAAGGATGCCTTGGTGCCTATTTACTGCCCTACTGGTTTATTTTTTGGGTTTGTATGGCAAGTTTTATAGGGTAATGTTACTTGGTCTACAGGCACTTCTGTGGGCTCTTGGTGACAGAAAGGGAATTAACCGTTTTGGTGACTTCTCAGCTCCTCTTGATGAAGCATGGATACATGTTTCATTGGTATGATCGCATATGCTTATTTCTTATGCATAATTACATGCATATACACATGTACTAAATGAAGCTAAAAGTTTTCCATGCAAGTAACTTTCGACGAAGTTCTTTTACATTGATTCTTCTTACTTATTTTCTTGAAAATACACAATTGAATGATTTAGGCGCTTTGAGAATTGTGTGGTGTAGCTACCTTCCTCTACAGGTATTATTGTGGGAAATGACTTATAAGAATATGGAAAAAGAAAATCACCAACGCTTGGTTCTGTAACAGCAATCTGGTTTTAAAATCCTGCAGTTACCTTTCAAAAAGCTGGAAACAAGCTATTCTAGAAATGATCTGATATACATATGCTGCGTTAGTCATTTGGTTGCAATTAACTGAAATTAGTTCCTCAGAATAATTTTCCATTGACATTCCCTTGCAAGTTTGAAATAATGTTATCTGGTTATTATTCCAGGATTTATCTGGCCGACCACATCTAAGTTTTGATTTAGACATTCCTACTCAGAGAGTTGGGACTTATGACACCCAGGTAATCTACTTAATTTTCTTTCTTTAAGTGAAACTGTGTCAGTTTTCTTGTTGGAAACTTGTGCACAGAGATTCAATAGCTTAAAATTTTCCTAAGCTCTTGCTTCATATCTTTCTGCTCTTTTTGGAAGTTTGTTCTTCACTTGTTTGCTTAAATTCACTGATTAATTGTTGAAACCCTGCTCTTCATAGTTGGTGGAGCACTTTTTCCAGTCTTTGGTGAATACTTCTGGCATGACACTTCACATACGACAGGTAGGATTACTGAGAGCTTCTTGTGTTTGATCTATTTAAACATTGTATTATACTTTTAGGCAGAATTGATATTCAACTCATAGTATTCAGTTTCCCATATAGTGTTTTGGAGTCGTGTCTCCATTTTCCCTTGAGGAAAAATGAATGATTTCTCTTTCTTTTTTGCATCGTTCCTGAATCCTGATTCTCTAGCCTCTTTTATTGCATGAGGAGGCAGTTTTGTCTCTAATTCTCTGCTTCCAAGTTTTTGTCATGACATTTAAACATGGTTGAACACAGCTTGCAGGAAAAAATTCTCATCATATTATTGAGGCAACCTTTAAGGCTTTTGCTAGGGCTCTCCGACAAGCAACAGAGTATGATCCACGTCGCCGTGGTTCTATACCAAGGTTAGACGTCTCTCAATCGGGAACGATTTAATGCGTGCCTTTATATAGTTTCCATACATATATTTCCATTAAAACCTTCAACCATCATGTGACATGTATAATCTCTGTTCCAATTTAACATTCTAAAACATATGTATTTCATGCAGCTCAAAAGGAGTTCTTTCTCGATCTTAATACGTGAAAAGCATAATGCGGAGGATGGATTATATATCTTACGCTGGTCATGCAGGACACTCCAGTGACCGTATCATCATTAAGCAAACACTGAGGACCTCCAGGTTGACGTTGCCTGCGCTTTTCATCCACTTTCATAAGAACACCAATGCATTGAAGTAGAGCCAGAAAATGTCAACTTCGCTTTTGCATTATTATTCTGGAATACTCATTGTCTTCTCTCAACTGGATGCAATATCTACTAGGAAAAATAAATTGAAAATCGAAATCCATAAAGGGTAAGAAATAAAATTTGAGTTTATAGGAATAGGACAAGTTCGACTTGGCTAAGGTTTCCAAGATAGGGTAGGATTTGTACTTTTCTTGTATAAATTGCAGGAGCTGCTAAGGCCATTACATTAGTCTTAACCCATAAAACAAGTTTCTAGTGTTGGTTTTCTCAATGGCTTCCTCTCATGCTAGTTTGCTCCTACAGAAGCAACTCAAATATCTCAACGAAACCCCGGTGGAAGGTTTCTCTGCTGGATTGACCCAAGAAAACAATATCTTTGAATGGACCGTCACTATTATGGGACCTCTCGACACCCTCTACGACGGAGGTATCTTCAACGCCACCATGAGCTTTCCATTCGACTACCCGTTCAGTCCTCCCACTCTCAAGTTCACCTCAGAGATATGGCATCCAAATATTTATCCCGATGGAACGGTTTGCATATCGATTCTCCATCCTCCTGGGGACGATCCCAGTGGTTATGAACTTGCCACTGAGCGATGGAGCCCGGTTCACTCGGTTGAGACTATAGCTTTGAGTATAATATCATTGCTATGCAGTCCTAATGTTGATTCTCCTGCCAATCTTGATGCTGCTATACAATGGAGGAAGCATAGAGATGAGTTTAAGAAGAAAGTTCAACGATGTGTTGAGAAATCACTGCTAGCCAATGGAATTTAGATGTTAGAATTAACAATAATTAGTTTACAATAACAATTAATTCCCACACCAATCATATGCAGACAAAATTTTCAGTACATGTAATTGCATGTCATATCATCACTAGCATCCTAAATAAAAACTTAATTTATAAGTTTTTTTTTTTTTTGTACTAACTTCTCAATATCCAATAATCATATTAAATCTTACCTAATTCAAAATCAAATCACACTCAAATCTATTAGGAGAAAACTCTTATAGTACTTGTTTTTTCATTGACAAGATTTGAATTTGAGAATTTTTTTAAAAAAATTAAACTCTTTTCACTCGAACCAACATGTCATTAATTTTTATTCTATAAGTTTTTGTTCATCACTATCACAAGTTTAATGCAAGAATTCTAAAAGCATGTGTCAAAGGCTACCGTTGTGACACACCCAATTACCTATTGTAAAGTTTCTAACAATGCTATAGTACAATGTTTTTCTCACTATGCTTTTATATAAAATCATGATAAATACATATTAATTTATATGTGACTCTAATTATAAAATTTATATGATAATTAGATACTCGATGACTTAAAAGATTTCAAGTTCAAATTCTCGATTCCTTTAATGAACGCTTGGTTCTCAAGGAAACTTCCAAGTCGAAGGCAGAAGCCATCCTTAAACGACACTCAGTGACCTTTAAATTCCACCAGTCATTGTCTTTCTCATTGAATGGTGCTGATTGTGTTTGTTCAGTGTGCGTACCCACCTTCATATCTTCTTGTCTGTGCAATTGTGGAAACCATAACGAACAGAAAACAGATGAAAAGTCTTGTACGGCTATTCATTTCCAGACATGTCACGCTTTAGAAGGGCTGGGATGGGCACCATTTGGTTTTCATTGGCTTCGAAACTGAATCATTAATTAGCTAAAGTTTCGTTTAGTATAATTATAATTTTGAGTTTTTTTATTTTGATTTTTAAAATTTAAATAATTAAAATTAATAATAAAAATTAAAGTTAAAAATTATAATTACTAATTTATTAAATATAAAATTTTAAAATAAATATTCAAAACTCCATACTTAATTAATTTATTGAACTATTTAATTTAATGTAAGGTTTTTAAATTTTTAAAAATAAAAATAAAAAACTCAAAATTACAACTATAATAAACAAAGTCTAAATTTTTTTGTTACTAATTTTTAGTAACTATGACTAACTAAATTGAAATTATCAGAATTTTTGTGGTTACTTTTCTAAAATAGCTGTTAATTTAGTTTCGGTTTAAACTTAAAAAAGCGAAAAATAAAAAATAAATTTAGCTAATATTTGGAGCGGGAATGATTTGGAATAACAGGGGAGGGTAAAAAAATAATAATATTATAATTATAATAT